TGTGTTCTATTTCCCGTGTAAAGTGGCATAATAAGGTGAGCAACATTGAGGTTAGGCGTCGAGTTCTAAGTAAACAGGGGAAATCAATCGACGAAGTCGTGAAGCTACAAAGACTGAGATGGTTAGGACATGTGTTACGTATGCCAAGCCATCGCCTCCCTCGACAATGAGCAATGTTAGCGGATATAGGGTCAGGCTGGAAAAAAGCTAGCGGCGGTCAAACAAAAACTTGGCACCAGTCAATGAAATCCACAACAGTTAGTCTAAGCCACGTAGGAAGGTGTAGACTTCCTGACTGGTTGGGGTCCTCGGGACGGTAAAAATCTATGGTTGGAAACAATTGGTGACATGGCTCAAAATCGTTCTCAGTGGCGCAGATGCATCCACTCCTTGTGACTTGTGATCTCCAATGAAACTGTTTTGTTCTTCGTTATTACTCCTCCTTTGTCTCACACCTCTGCTCACTGTTTCTATTATGCTTTTCTTGTACTTTCTTCTCTTGCTTCGCGTGCTACACGGAGTGTGGCGACTTGAACTTCCGCACATTTGTGCAAAGTTCTATGTCGAAAACAGACAGACAGACAGTTTTCACCTGAACAAAATATCAGACACTGTTGAATAAGAATGCTTCACTGTGTTACTCCCTAGCTACTTCGTTTTTTCTTCCTTTCTCTCTCTCTCTATTAATGTTATATTTTTAACGTGACGCATTTCTTATTCCTTTTACTGTACCAAATTTATATTCGTATAAAAGTCATTTAACATAAATTCTTTTGTAAATTTCAGTTTCCATTTTGTTACGTCATATGTCACGTGTAAACGACGCATAGGGCGACAAATAGAGTAGTTATTCCCAAAGCGCATTAGGTTGTAGCAGTTGTAACTTTTGGTTTTTATGACATGTATTTATACAGAATAATTTTCTTATCATATTTTAGTTCACCTATAATTTTTGTCACTAATATTGCATAATGAATGCAGTGGACAGATAAAGCAAAGGATCAGCATATGTGCGTTGGTGGCACAGTGGTTAGGACTCTCGCTGACCATGCACATGGTCCGGGGTTCGATCCCCTGCCGACGCACACCTGATATCAATGGTCGGCCTGCAAAATTTGGGTTACCAATATACCTGCAGAAAATTCCATACTTGTACCAAAAATACAGTGTGGAATCAAGCTGCAATCAAAATAAATAAATACCTATGGAGTGCAATGCTGAAATTTAGTGTCACAGTTTCGTGATACACTTCACTGCTGCAGCGTGTTTGTGTCCTGTTGTTTCATTATTTGTTCTTGTATTTGCTCAACACGCCTGTGAAATTTGACCTGTCTAAGCTGAGGATATTCTGCGCCTTTACGTATTTCATCATCGCTCCCTACGTAGAATTGTTTGCAGCCACCATACCGCTCACTGTATACTGACCCTGGGACTGAAGAGTCAGTCAATGAAGCGAAGTAGGCTGGCGTCTGTTGGTGCATCATAACTCCCTGGGTTGGCGCCTGAGATATAATTTGAATCAGTGGCGCAAAGTTGTTTCAATTTCTGTCTTTCTTCTCTTTTTAAAAGTTACATTTAGTAATGAACTATTTCTTGAATGCTCTTTAGTTTGATCACCAAGTTTTCGTGATATCAACAAGGCTGAAAAATCTCCAAACACCTTCTACTCCCACCCTGAGCTGTATATATCCTCTGCTGTTTTTCTAACTTTTGTTAATATGCTTGGAATAAGCTTTCGTTATTATTTGCACAATTTCAGTCTACTATTATCTTTTAAGAATTAAACGTTCGAGGATACTAAGGTCTTTCTACTAAAATCCTACTAGGTCCATAAGAAAGATATTAATATCATAGATTTTGGTTGCTCACTGATTCACTGAGATGATTTAATAAGATTACCTGTGTGAAAGAAATTCTACGGGTTTAGCCAAACATTAGCGTCTGCTTATTCATTTCTTTTTTTACTTCTGTCCATTTTTCCCGTTTGTTTTAACCATCTCTTATTTTGTTAGCTTTTCTTGTGTTAGGCAGATGATGTCCATTGTTGTTGTTGTTGTTGACTTTCTTACTCTATATAATTAGGCGAAAACCATTTATAACTCTACTCTGTTACACTTTTTATAGTTTAATTGTTCAACTGTTCTATGAAAGTGGTTCTAAACGGCAATTCGGAAGCACTTTAATGTGTACCAGCATTTTACTATAAAAAAATTTCCCGCTTATAGGTGTGATTTACGTTAGCCATTCAAAAGTGGAGGACATAAATAGGCTAGCTGCCTGTGTCTGCATTCTGTCTCTCGTGTTAGGTGGTTATAATATGATAAGTAATATTGAGCATAAGGCGTACAGTGTCGTGCGTTGGTGGCCCAGTGGTACAACACTGTCCAACGAAGCAAGTGGTTTGGGATTTGATACCTGGCTGACACACTTCTTTACCTCCCTTAGCCGGTAGTAAGCCTTGTAAAAGAGGGAAAGTTAGGCGAGAGGTTAGCAATCCCGTCCCGTAAAAATAAAACCATTGCTTTCAGGATTTCATCATGAGCTGACATTAGTTAGAGAACCATTGAAAAACCTAGGAATACTGGACAGCTATGTCGTGAATCGGCAGAAGTTAGATTTCAAGGACCAGTGGATCGGGTCCCAGTGGCTTAATGGTATACGAGCTCTCCTTGTAACCGGAAGGTCCTGAGTTCGAATCCCGGTGGGCGCGTACTGCTGAAGAGTCCCAAACTAGGACGAAACAGCTGTCCAGTACTCCCTGACTGGTTTTCCAATGGTTCTCTAACTAATGTCAGCTCATGATGAAATCCTGAAACCAATCAAATCCCTACAAACCAACACTTGAAAACCATTGCTATCGATAATTCAAAGCCCTCTCTTGAAGCCCTGTGTTCCACTGGGAACGCAAAGGTATAAAGCTTAAAAAATAATACCATGCAATGTTAGAAAACGAGAAGAAGGAGTCAAAATCGATAAGGTTGTGAAAGTGAGTCAATTTAAATGGCTAGAAAGGACATGTGTTATGTATGTTGAACCACCGCCTACCTCATTGAGAAATCTCAGATGACATGGGATTCAAAAAGAGTTAGCGGTAATGAAATCGAGCCTCGCATGAATCTGTAAAGTCTTTGACTGTTGATTTGAACCGAGCGGGGGATGTGTAGACCACCTGGTTGGGGTCCTCGGGATGCTAAGAATCAATTTTTTGAAACTATTGGTGAAATACAGTATAATGAAGTTTTTTGTGTTTCCCAATGAGTGAAAAACAAAACGATATTATTTTTGCTGACGTTTCGCTATTTAGTGCTAATAGCTTTATCAAAGTGACAAAATCAACACGAATGTGATAAGCAATATCATTATATAAACACACGGTGTTTTATGATTTTACACACTGTTCAAATCCAACAATCTATACTTGATTTTGTTATCGTTACCAATTGACCAACATTGCAACGAAAAACGACCCAGAAAGACAAACGATGAACAAGCTAGTAAACAGACGTGTTATTACTTTTGTTGTTTGGTTTAGTGATCTTCATTGCTATTTTGACTTTCAATATATCCCTTTAACTTGACCTAAGTATTCCATTTTCTCACCCCTTAACTCTTTGTTATATATGTATATATATGCTGAGGTTTTGTAAATTCTGGTTTGATACTACTTTGATAAAGCTATTAGTAGCAGCATTAAATAGCGAAACGTCAGTAAAAACAATATCGTTTTGTTTTTCATTCATGGGGAAATACAAAAGTCTTTATTATAATGAATATCATATACCCAATACCCAAATTTTTTCAAACCGTTAAAAGTGAACTTGTAGCTGCGGAGCCAGCTACATTGGGCGTACAATTAGGCAGGTTCATCGTCGTATTTCCGAACATCATCCAATGTGGTTAAGTAAGGGACAAAAAAGATCTATTCGTAGCTCTATTTTAGCCCACCTCGTTGATACTGACCATAAGATTGATGTTAATACAGCATTTAAAATTATTTATCGCATTCCAACTTATCTTAATTTTGCTCTGCGAGTTCGTCTTCTACAGACGGCTGAGGCGATTGGCATTCATCTGAAGAAGCCAAGCCTATGTGTACAGAAAAAACTTGTACAGCCACTTTCCCTACCGTGGCCATCGTCACAAGAATGGATAAACAGGACTGCGTCACCCTCCTCCCCCTAAACCTATAAAATTATATTTGTCTAAATTATTTATTTTATTTATTTTGACCACTTCATCTTTAATTTACGTGTTATCCTTGTAAAATTAATTTATTCTATCCATTTCCACCTTTTAAATCTGTATTGATTTTCTTCGCTAACTATTAACCCATTGACACTGTTTAATTATTGTTAACAAACTTATCGCCACTTGATTGGCAAACTGTTGTATTGTAATTAAAATGCTATATATATTAGAGTAGAGCCAAAGATGAGGATCTAATTGAAAAGTAAATATTTCTTCGCTCAATCTTTCTGTTTTGGACATATATGTTGGTGAAATAGCTCATAATCGTTGTCGAGGGCGCAGACGCATTTAATATTTGTAATCTTCTAGGTCCATTAAGTTCTCGTGTTTCTCCGTGTTATTTTCCTTTCCGTCTATGATAGTTCTCCTGAATTTTCTTTTTTTTTCAACCATAGTGTGCTACATGGAGTGTGGCAACTTGAACTGCTACGCACTTCTATGCAAGGTTCAACGTTGGCACTGAGGTTGCCTTGTAACCGGAAGGTCCTGGTTTCCAACTCCAGTGGGCACCTACTGCTGACGAAAAAGCTGTCCAGTACTTCCCTGGTTTTCAATGGTTTTCTAACCTATGTCATTCCGTGGTCAATTGTGAAACTCAACCAGTCATGTATGATTTAAGCGATTATTTTACTAGCCATTCTAGGAAAATGTTTCAAATCATTTTGTACAATTCTAAACCAACTTCAGTCACACTATTTCTTTTTACATTTCAGTGGTAGTCAATTTGTCTTTATCGTTTTCTTTGAATTTAGATATTAATACTGACGAAATCCCTGTGTTTGAGATCAACATCAATCCAGTTTGTGGTGAAACCGATTCTGAACTAAGTGACAATGAATCTGACGACTCAGAAGAGAGAAATGTATCAAAGAAAAGACTTCGAAAACGTCAATTGAAACGAAAAGAGAAAAATGTGTCAATCATTCAAGAGGATGACGAAACTAACGAGTATCAGGATCAAATTGATAAGAATGATGATCCCACCTCTGGTAATTTATTCTTTTTGTAATAGTCTTCCATTAGTCTGAACTGTTATTGATTATAAAGGATCACTTTTATTCTCGAGGAACCAGTCGTGGAGTTGACAAATGTTTTCTTGTTTAGCTTCAAGAAATCTTAGATTCTAACCTCTTCATTGAGAATGTTTTTTTATTATTTTTTCTCAGTGTAGTGCATTATTTAATAGTTTGGTGGATGGTAGTTTCGAGAGGAATGTTAGGTGTATATGTTTTTAGGATTCCATGGGTTTTAATGAATTGAATTCCTCTCCCTAATAATCGCATTCGTGTTTAAGAGTTTTACTAGATTATTTGTCACCCTTATTTTGTACAGTCTTCAGATCTTCTGAAGTGGAATCCTTGGTAAATTTGTCCTTATTTGTATTCAATTTTGTCGATTACAACTACACCAGAACCTTTAGCTAGTCTAAGGATAACGATTTCATTATTTGCTTTAGTTCTTTTAGAGCTTTAAAGTGCTCAGATGTTGGGATACTTTTCTGAAATGTATGACCATTGTAGAATTGGTGGGCAATGTCGAATATCTTGGCTTTGAATCATCCATGATTAATCATCAGTAACGCGAGCAAGAGGCCTCAGTTAGTCATTTAGATTTTCAAATTACCGAAAATACCAATTGAGTCATGAAGAAAAATAAAAGACAATTCAGCGAAGAAAATCTCCTTTATCGACGAAATCATCTTCTGAGGCGGCTGTATAGTCGTATTTATATTTACTAAAAATGTATAGTAGTCTATTATTGATTAATAGAGGGTGGGGTGACATAATTGATATAATTTTTCAGAAGTGGCTTTAGAAGTAAAAATAAAAATTGTCAATTACGAAGTATTCAACGGCACAAAGGAAAAAAAGGTTAGAAATTTGAAAAGGTTAAGGATATTATTGAGTGAGAAGAAGGTAGTTGAGTGCTGATTTGACAAGTGTGAAGAGGGTTAGAAAACGTACGAAAGGAACATGTGAGAGTGATAATAGTGAATTAATTATTAAAGTAAAGGTAAGATTAAAAATTAAGAAATTTACAGGAAACGACTAGTGAAAAGGTTAAGACCATTGTAGGATAAAAGACTAGATAAACTTATTCGATATACAGAGTTCGGGATTGTATGGACGAATTACCAATGCCTCCGCCATACACAAATGCCGAAACCTAAAGCCCCATTGTACCATTTGACCTCACCTAGTAGATAATCTTAAAATAGGACTCTGGTGGAGCTGCGCGGCTTGAGTTCACCAAATGCTCGAGAATTGAGCTAATAACTGTCTTACATTGTCCTTTTGCTAACCATGGTTTATAATGTTCAGAGATGCGTTTGGAAAGTGTGTGCTTTGTGCAGCCAATATAACTAGTTTCACAAGAGCAAGTGAATTTATAAACACATTTTGAAGTGCCCCAAAGCGGCAGTTTATCCTTCACACATCCATTGATCATTTGTCGGCTGTAGAAACTGATGCGTAGCTCAGCTGCAAAGAAGGCTTTTCTCTGTGATCTGGATAAGTGATTTTTCAGTATCTCAGCTGCAGTATTACCTTTAAATTCAACTTTAATAAATTACTGTTTCTTCGACGCCGTCTGGTTTCTTTCGGGCCTTTTCTTTGCCTTCATATTTTTCTCGATGTATCTCGGAGGATATCCATTTCCCATGAAGACTTGTCTGAATCGTTTCCCGTCGATTGTATTACTGGCACATATCCTTTTTAATTTTGAAGATTAGGAATAGATCGGATTTCTCTAAGGGACTCAACAATGAAAATTCATGTATTGTCCATTCCATGTTGGTTTCCTGTAGATCTATCTTTGAAGAGAACCGTCAGATCTCCTTTTTAGCAAAACATCGAAAAAAGTAGAATTCCGAGTTCATCCACGATTCTGACGTGAACTGGATGGCATGATGTCAGTTGTTGAACTCCTTAGTTATCATTTTGTTGTTAGCATACTCGTCCTATGTGATGAAGTTATCATCCATATATCTTTGGTACATATGAAGACTACCGATAGTGGGTCATAACATACTATTCTCTAAACTTGCTAATAAGCAGTCTACGTGTAAAAGACACAAAGGCGACTCACTGCCACTCCATCTCTTTATCTGTAGAGCGTGTTGTTGAACTTGAACTGGTCACTGAAAGTACATCTCAAAAGTAGTTCTTTTAAGTAGTGAGTTGGAATACCCCCATCTAGGTTATTATCCTCGGTGAATTTGCATATAAAGCAAATAGTTTCAGTGTGAGGAACATCAGTGAAGAGAGACGTAATATCCAGAGGTATGAATTTCGTCCCGGATACACTACCATCACTTATTGAATCGGCGAATTCAAAGGAATCTGAAATACTATGCTGACAGAGATTATTTGTGATAGGTAAAAGGATGTCTGTGAGCATTTGGCAGTAGCATGATATGTTGAAGATGATTTTGAGGAAAAAGAAAATTTTCTTGGCTGAGTTGTCTTTTCTTTGATGTTGTTTAAATAACATCGAATCAACAATAATGTCAATGGATTACAGTTCGATAGCATCAACATAACAAAAACTGAATATCGGAAAAATTAAGAAAGATGATAATACAAATTCATGAATTTGTAGTCTCTGCTGAAGACTGACCAGACCAGTAGTAGCGCTGGCTGAACTTGATTCTTTTGCACACAAAGTACTGGTTGTTTCGCGCCAATCGCAATAGCCTGTACTGTTTGGAGCATACGGTGCTTCGATGTTTTCGGCGGTTTAATTGGTACTCAGTAGATGATAGAGAAGGATTCTTCAATGCTGGTTTTTTGACCGGTATTGTCTATTCTCGAACTGTTGATTGTTTTTACTACACCTTTACTTAGCCATACTGGGAGGACGCAAAATTTGAGTCCAAGTAATAAGGTTTGTTTCTGTAATGAGAAAAGTGTTATGGAAGATAGGCTAATGACATACTTCTCTGGATATACAGGGAAAGAAGTTACAAGTTTTTTATCATTGAGTGATTTACTCAGCTTCTTACGTATTTTGGTTTTCGTTTTAACAGCGATTGGGATGCATATGCAGTTTGTTTTATGTTGACCATTTGGCAGATAAGGTTATTGTGTTTAACAGCTAACTGGATTTGTAGAAATGTAAACAGTTTTGTTTTCACTCCATGCTTCCAAGAGTGAGTGATATGACTGTCAGTACAACCTGGTAGTTTACGAGTCTCCTCATATGTTGCTGAACTTCTTCCTAACTAGTCGATTTGTGAGCCTACTGTTCTAATCACTCATCTCCAACGACAACTACCACAACACAATCTTATCTTTGGATCAAGTAGTCTTGTCTTTTATTGACTTTTTTTTCACACACCTGCGAAATGTCTCTCTGTTGTGACTTTTGCTATGCTATGCGCGAAAACACCTTGCGTGTTCACTTCTATTCTCACCCTAAATCCCCATATAGGTGGTTTATGCCAAAAATAAGGCAAAATAAATTCAGTTTTTTTTGCAAATTTTATTTTTTCCTTATATTGAATCATATTGTGTGCTTACTCACTTACTATGAATTATTTTCAGATGTTGTTATCGATGAACCTTATATGAGCCGTAAAAAACTTAAACAACAAAAAGATGTAACTACTTCTAAGCCTGTAGAACGTAAACCTGTTAAAAGTGATGATGGATGGACTAAAGTAGAACAACAACAGCTTGAAATTGCTATCCGCTCTATTGGTAAGGGAACACCGGAACGATGGGATCGAATCACGGAATGTATTCCTACAAGAACAAAGGTAATATGTTGCTATTTGCATAGCATTTGTTAATTTTTGATAATATGATGCATTCAGTCCCACTTTTTAAACTTAAGATTATCTTTTTCTTCAGTGTATGGACGTGTTATCCAGCTGTCAGTCAAAAGATGTATGCGTACTGCACAGCAGTTCGCTCCGCCGTCTTTCATTGATGTGAAACGTGGCTATTGGAAGTGGATGATATGAAAAGGCTATCTGCCTTTGACACTACAAAACTTTGTGTTCTATTTTCCGTGTTAAGTGGTGTAATATGGGGATAAGTGTTAAAGTTAAGTGTAGAATGTGAGTTAATTAGGGGGGTGGGTGGGGAGAGTCAGTGAATGAGGTTTTGAAACTAGATTGATTGAGATATCTAGGGCAGGTATTGCATATGCCAAGCCCATCAACTTCCTAGTCGAAGAATGTTAGTTGACTTCAGATAAGGCTGGAAAAGAAGTTAAGGAGGGTCAAATGAAACTTGATGAAATGAACTCATGCAGTCGTTGATTATTGGTTTGAACCGGTCACGTAGAGTGAGGTAAGGTGTAAACTGCATGGGTGAGAGATCTTCAAGATGCTTAGAATCCAGTCGGTGGAGACTGTTGATGATAAAGCTCAAAATTGTTTTCAATACCTTAGATGCATTCATCATTTGTAATCCCGAGATCTATTAAATTCTGGTGGTTTTCCACATTACTTTTCTTTCTGTGTTGTACATTTCTTTTTAAATATCTTTTGTCTCCCTCTGTGTTCTGCACGGTGTGTGGCGAGTTGAAGTGATGCAATTCTGTTCAAAGTTGTATATTCAAAGCTCCATTAAAATATCATGGAAAAGTTTTATTTTATTTTTCTATTTCCTTTATCTGTACTTTAGGATTCACAACAAAAGTGTTGTCATGGTATCTTAGAGAAGGAAAATAAGCCTTAATGGAGAAAAATAGTTTATCAGTATCAAAGTTTTTAATCAATCCACTACACTACTGACTGAACAATTGTTTTCTGATTGTACTGCAAAAACTTTTTTTAACAGTCAAGACAACTATTAGATTTTTATGCTGCATTTTATCCAAAACAGATTCTTCAAGTAGTTGGCTATAAAAGCTAAATAATACTGTAACAACAGAAGATAAGGGTCAGGCAACAGATCCTTTATTGAGAAAATCAAGAGATATTTATAGATTTTTATCTACATTATTGTTAGCAGAGAAGCAACGTCTTCTGATTGGTCGTCTTCTTGCTGAAGGTTATTCTGTACTGCTTGTGACCATTTCTCAGAAATTTAAGCCGTATATCTGCGAATCCTATCTGCACACGTTTAGTATGCTGTGATTGGTTGGTGACTTCCTCAAGGTTAAGCTGTCAATGTTTTTTCTCATTACCCCAATTCAGGAAGTAAACACTGACGTTTATTTTTTGTCTACAATTTTGGCCTGCACCACAATACCACCTAGTTAGTTGCCCGATGCTAAAGTAGGCGGAGCTGAGACGCGAACCCGCGGAAAATTGAGAGCTTAGCAGCCTATTGGATAATGTGCTGTAAAGAAGACGGATAGATCGCATGTCATTACTCAATTTTTCCGGCACCACTAGTCCCATCTTACAGTACAGTCAGTAGTAGAAATACGAAGATAGACAGAATAGTCAGTTTCTTTGTTCAACATTGATGATTATATCTCCTGTGTATGTGTGTATTGAATCTTTCGTTTAACACTGATGGTGAATTCTGCTTAAAGATGATATGCTTTAAGTTTCATTTTTCTCTGTGTTTTTCGATTTCTGCTTTTGTAGGCAGAGGTAATGGCTCATGTCAAATATCTTTCAACGCTTGTTCAACGTAAACAATGAGAAACATTTATGCTTATCGTTTGAATTTCTTATTATCTATCCTATATTGTGTAGACTGTGATTCTCATGTGTTAAATATGTGATAAAATGGTGTATGTATAGTGAATTAATAATATATATACTTGTAAATTGTAAATTACCACCACCGTAACATTCCGAAAAGTTTAAATTGTATGTACGTACGTAGGTACACTAGTTGTTTTCATATGTATTCTTCACATCAATGGAAGCTTAAAATTGTCCACATGTTTTTGGGTTTTTCATAATGATGCTGATATAGAATAAATGCTTCTCTGATCACAGACGCTACTACAAACTAGTTATTCTTATTTACTCTTGTGTGACCACCTGCAAAAGCTAATATTATGATTTTGCCTCCAACCACCTAATATCATCAAATCAATGTTCACCGTGATGGCGAGAATGGCGGTCACATTACAACCTGACTGATAGAATTCAGTCTACACCAATCAGAGGACTAGACGCATCACACTAGTTACTAGTGTCAAATCAAAATATGATTTTTTCTATTAAGCGTGTACACATAATGACCGATATTTGCTGTCTTGAAGCAGTCGCAGGAATTGCATATTTCAATGACCTAATAAACTGTCTAAGTTCAGGCATCACCTACCCGGTTAAAAGAGACAACTGAATAGTGGGTAAACTAAAAGTGCAACTCCATCACTTGTTCAGTTGCTCACACTCTATGTTGGAGATATGATGGTCGGTATAGGGGGAGGGGGGAGGGGTTACTATGAAAAGCGTTTCTGTGAGAGAAAAGGTCGACTCGAAATTTATTTCTGTTGACTGATTGCAACACTATGGATTTTCAGAAGAATTGCTTTGCCTCCCACCAAAATAACTACTTAACACTAACGTATCGTCACGCAGACCTAATTCAACTTCTGTTGCCCTCTTCCCTTTTTAATGTTTTTCAAGCCAAACACACCGTACATCGTTTCGTTAAAAAAACTCTCATATCAGACAACTGGCCTTACTGATGAAATGAGTTGTTATACCTTCATGCAGTTAATTTGTATTATTCTGAGTTCCATTGCTAAAAGTTCAACTGGAATGGATACCATGAAAATAATAAAAAGAAATCGCCATACTCTTAGTTATCTCCTCTTGCATTTCAAATTAACTGACTAAAGATTGGTCTAAGTAGATGTCGATAAGGTGTCAAATTCGTGGCAAACTACCTAGATGTAGTCACAATTATATACGATTTTTAAGTCCGTTAGTAAGTTGTATTGAGAGAATCGATTGATGACAAAATGACAACGATGGTCATCTGCTACGAACTTCTTCATTAATGAGGGTAGATATTTACTCGCTTGCCTTCTTCTGACAGAAGACCATTAATAAGTGTACAAGCGGATGATGAATAAATGACTAAAGCTCTTCATATATTACACGCGTGAATTAATTAGCGCACATATATGCCTGAGACTGAAGTGACGAAGTTTTCACCAACCTGCCGTTTTCTATGTTACTGGAAACGTCCGGGAAGGTAACCAGTTTACTATTAAAGCAATTGATAACATGTAAGCCTATCCAAAGAAGTTGTTACAAGTAGACTGATACTGGTGGACCTGGAACATGACGAGAATTAAAAGCTATTTAAACGTGGTCTTGTCCGAATTAGCATCAATAATTAGTGATGAGACAAGGGAGGAATAAAGTGAGTAATTATTCGCTTAGTGTGACAGCCACCAACCACTAGAGCTTGTTATTGGAGTGGTTTCTAGAACGACAGTAGGCTAAAGGGTGTTCTACAGTTCTATTTAATCGAGAAAAGTAATGTAATTTGCCAAATACCATACTAGAGAAGTCATATATTAGCAGATCGGCACCAGTTAGGCTATCAGAACATAGAAGTGTAACTAGATCTAAAATTGTGGACACCGTTGGCTTAAATGATCTCGAAACAGCTCAACCACCGCAAAGCAAGTACCTGCATATATTCGCGTAATGAGTTTAAAGAAATTAAGTGGAGGATCAGGTTAGCCATTGAATCATCACCTACAATTGAAATGGCGCAGCGCAAATATAGAAGATTCCAATAAAATCAGGGTTAGTGAAATAAAAAGTGTGAATATATTCATGTGATTTGTAAGCAATCAATTGTGCTCAAAACGTCATTATTTCATTCATATTGTATTACAACAAACAAACTTATCTAATTTGGAAATACACACCGAACGAACTTGGACGGAAGTACGTTGGTAGAATAGAAATGTCTTCGCTGCGTCATGAACAAACAAGAGCATCCAAGTGATTTACGAAGTTTAGCCAAATTGGCTGTACACTTCTGTGAACCATTTCTTATGATTGTAATGTATATAGATAGAATGTTAACCAGTGCTGAGTATCATCCTGATCATGATAACAGTTCAGAACTGAGTTCAACAATTATTAATCCCATTTCTGCAAATATTTTTGAGTTGTACTTTTTGGTATGAAAGTGAAGGTTTCTCATGAATCATAATGACGAAGCAAGCTATTCATTAGGTTTGAAGATTTAGGCTATTTTTATTCTAAAAAAAATAGATTAGGATTCGTGTTCTACTAATCTGTATCGCTGTTACAAGTTAGGCACTTGATATCTCGTTTAATCTTTCACGTTCAGGACAGATTAGAGAAGTGTGGAGAAGGTCAGTTCAAGTTACTACTACCGTGTATTTAAAAAGTTTCAGAAAACACCCCTGGTGTAGCAGCAAATAATTCCCTAAAATTATTAGACAGCAGGATTCATCACTGAATGCTAACCCTCACCGTTTAAGTCGACTCGTTAGGCTGAAAGTTCACGGCCAGTCATCCACACTATTTGACACGATGTCATCTTACGTATTTTCGTCCGTACACGATCCCTAGCTAGTTCAGCAATCATCATCTCGTCACGATTTTGATATGGACATATATTTAGTGTTTTGGACTACCACTTTGGTGTTTTGATTCGCCTTTTGTCTACACAGAACAAATATTATAGGCATTAAGGGATGAGAACTTGCACCTCGCATAAACGTCATCTCACACCTAAACTGGTGAGCCCACATTTGACCTTTATCTACTTTGGTGAACACTGAAAAGATTCTGGTGAGTTGGTTCTACTTTACATTTGTTCTTTTGTCACATCTAGTATATTTTAAGCTCTTTTTACTATAAGTGACCATACACCTGAGTTCATTCTGACAGACCACTCTTGCCATTTTCGCCAGACAATGCGAAAATATAGTTTCTATCTGCTGAGGCCAACTTCCAAAGATACTGAGTCACCGACCGACGTTCGCTGGTCCGAGAGATCCATGCGCTCTGTCGGAGAAACTGATCAAGTACGTCACCGCACAAATTTCCACTCCAGAGATAAGAAACCGTAACGGGATTTTGAAATCAGTCATAATAATAATTTATATTTTCTATAAACGGGTAAGTTTACATGAAATGCATGCCATTTTTACAGACACGATCAGTTATGTCACAAATTACAATTGTGAATTAGCATAAATTAGCACTCTTTCAAAAGTTTAAATTGTTGAATTATAGTACAAGCAATCAGAGCAGGTTCGTATAAATGCTAAATTGCCAACCTCTCACTAAGGTCACCTTCAAGCGATTTGCTCGCTTGTGATTGGCCCGTTTGTCATTCGAGTTGAGTTAATTTCAAACATCATTTTGCTGCTTGGTTAAGTTCTGAATTCCCAGGAGGGTTTTATCAAGTTGGATAGATAAGTGACAACACAAACTATTACAGCTCAGGAGAGAAATGATATACCAGTGGATTTATTTGCTGAATTCAACGAATTCATGCCATATCAATATGTAAGGACTTCTCAGGAGTGTCAAGAATGCAAACAATGTTCTGAAGGTGTAATAACTTCAAGCTTCAATTATCACTTGACCATTATTTTCAGATATCCTTAAATAAGTATAATATACACATTGGTCTGGTTGATCATGATAAAAACGGCATGGTTGATGCAGCATATACGTATATATGTAGTTAAACCTGGATAAACTGTGTTCTTGTCACGAAAATCGGAAAGCAGGTATCAGATGTCTCAGTAAGCAGTGTAATACATCTAAGCTACAGGTTTTTATTTGAAATAAACTGGATCTCCACTCACTTTCAGAATTAATCTTGAATTCAGTTGGGATAAGCTGGTTGACCACATCAGTATTGAGAGAATACAGTGAAAGTAAGTAAACACTTGCTTCTTAAGATTAAGTGATACATTTATTTGATTGTATTATTATTAGTTAATGATGAATTCGTTGCGATAATAATACCTATTATTGTTTTTATAGTCACTATGATCATGAATGTTATTATTATTGCTGTCAAGACCTATTATTTGTCATAAAACCGCTGTCATTTTGCTAAAATCTTTGTACAAGCTTTGGAAACTACTGCATAACTTGTTGTTAAATAATTTTATCATTTCATGATGCTTCGATGGACCCACTAGATATCGACCAACGATAAATTGCGAAGTCCCTTAAGTTTAGTGAAAACTTGGGCTACTTATATATATATATATATATATATATATATTGTTTGTAAAGTGATTACTTGTGATATATATCCATATAATATGTGTTTGTTTGACAGTCTGCTCTTGGTGATATACATCCATATAATATGTGTTTGTTTGACAGTTGGCTATATTTTGCTATGCATACATGGATCGATATTCCATTATAATTAGCCAATCATGTTAAGACTGTCTATTGATTTGTTCATTTTGAATATTCGCTCACACACTTGTTCGGACATTCATATTTTTGCTCTCACACACTTGCGTGACATTGATTCTCCTTGTGTTTGGAAAATAGAAGTATCATCGCAAACCTAGTGGTCTTCTGATTTCCGTCTTTCTTGCGTCAGGACTATTAAATTCTCGACCAGTACATAACAACTTGCAAATGCTTATCAGGAAAAATTTTTTATTCAGACCATACATGTAATACCCAAGTTAATTATTCTTTTCTTAAACCTTTTCAGACTTATGGAAAAACATATATGTGCCGTGTACGCAGATGGAACTTACTGACGGTAACTACTCATCTGAATTGTCTGTACATTTGAAATCTGACTTCTGTCTAATAAACAATTTTTCAATGAATCGGTGTTCCTTCTGTTGCAATGCGATTGTGTTCCAGTAACATAAGTGGCACGTGCTAAGTTAGAAGTTGAGGGTAAACTGTTAGGAGTAAATGCGGCGTCTGGAAGACTTTTGTTTACGTGATTATATGAGCAGATAGCAACGTATCGTGTTCTTTGGCTAAGAACCCTAGGCATTCTGTTTTTAATTATTACGATAACCGTAGTTGCACTGAGTTATACATCTAACAGCATAGGTATAGTCTCTCCTTATGGTACATTGCAACATGCAGAAATCACAAGCAAACTATCTCAGGTAGATTTATTCTCACTTTGTGACTATGAATCGCGAATCAGCATATGTATTCTGCTAAGACAATAGATAACTCGAAACGCTTTATAATCGCAATACCTCCTCTACGGTTTAGACATATTTACTTTATATGACTACAACATAATCTTTTACCAATAGGCTTCTCAATATCTGCTCCAACTTAGTATTTCAAAGATAGCCTCATATACTCTATACCTCACAAATTACGCAAGGGCTAATATTCGGTCTTATCAAGTAGAATAAACAAACGAATAACGAGGAATGCATTTATTAATGAATTAACATGTAATACAAAATCGACAACAGTGCAGGTATCTTTTTCTTTATCACCCAAATCCATGAAATTCCCGAAAGTAGATATCATCTGAAAAAGAACATAAGAATTATACAGATGTGGACATTGTTATCAGTGTAAACACAATAATTAACCATTAAATATGTTTAAAATGACGAAATAATTACTTGAATTGCATATAATTACGTCAGTAAACATTTTTCAATAATACGAAATCGATATTGCATCCGCCTGCAAACGTCAAGTTTATGCCATAAAATAAGGAAATACTATGCGTATATCATTTCAAAGTATTTCTGCAGATTTTTCCTAAAGAAATACATGTGGAGGAGCCTTGTCAGCATTAGGAAGAGTACACAAAAAAGTAAGTGAAATAATTACCAAAACGAGCTATTCCACCTAATCATGTTCATGTGTAATCCATTAAACTGCAAAAAAAATCACAAAACGTCGTTATAACATGTGTCTTCAAGTAATTCAACATTTTCTGAACGGAAAAGTAGGATTTTTCTACAAACTGTAAACTGCCTGTAAGCTACGGCCGGATAAGGACATCATCGTGTCAAGTACGCCGTATTTCATCAACTTTTAGCAGGAATATAAGTAAAAAATTGTGTAAAACAACGAAAAATGACCTAACCTTGGAGTTTTTTCAATAAATAACGCCAATATCCATCAGCTGATCAAATGACCTACGGCCGTCTACAGGCTGCCAATGTGGTTCGACCTGCTTCGGCTCACCCTCAATCGACATGACATTAACACTTCAATCTGCCAATCTAGCCAGACTCAGAAGTGTCATTCAATTAGTCCTGAGGTTCTCTAGTGACCTGATATTTTTTGAGCAACTCGAAAGCTGAGTATGCTTTTAGCATGCTTACTCAGGAACATTTACATCAACGAAGCCAAGCTCATTCTATACAAAACATGTGTAAGGCTATAACTAGCATACTGTACATTTATTGTTAGCAGCACTCGCATATGTGACAAGCTGAGGATGGAAAGCATCTAACGATATTCCACGTCCAAACTACTTGGCTACGATTGTAAGAAAGACTCTATCTCAAGGTACATGATTCTAAATCTTGACCCACTTCGGACAAGATGACTTATTATAAATCTAGTATTCTTCTTTAAGGTCCTACACAAAGTACGATTCTCTGCGTTAAAAAACTTGCACGGTGACAATAAAAGCCTCTAAATCATCACTACGCGAAAACTTCTTTAGTTATGTATTTTACAATATGGAACAGCCTACCCCTACCAGTGAGAAACTGCACCTTGATTATAAATTTCAAGCGCTCCCTGTACAGACTGTTTCACTCTACTGATTACATTAACAAACTATTTATTTCTCGAACGAATCAATTATTAGTTTACTAAAGTACCTAAAGAGAGCGCAAAACTTACCTAATTACTCTATAAATTCAATAAATAGACTAGTCGCATAGAGGTAAAAAAGACTAAGAAGAAATAAATATACAGGTTTGCTAGGCAACAATGTATAACGAATATAAACATATCTATACAAATATTACGGTCCTATCTCTGCCCACATACACTTTTTTCCTCTCTGGTACTTTGCCGCTCGCCCCTCCTCTTTCCTTGTAGTGGAAGTTGCATAGATCTACATTAAGACCGAAGCTGAACAGGACCTGAAGCCACCATATCATCCCTCAAGCTTTTGTTTCATATTAACTCAACATTCATGATAAACTCAGTCGTCATATCAGGACGTTGTATAACATTCTATACAAGCAGTACCCATGGTCTCAAATAGTTTACAGATAGTTTTCTACATGCTAATCATCTTACTCGTACAGATCAACTGTATTGAGACAAAAAGCAGTAAAATGTCACTAAATAATTTTTATTCTCTCTTCTCTTTCATAGAGGAACGCTTATGTGAACCTACTGGAACAAGAAGAGGACCGTTTAGCTGGACTCGTTATAAACGATGATCAATAGCTCTGCACCCACTCACTTTAAGTTTTGCATACACAGAATAAACATCTCCCAACGCGTTCTTCCATCTTCGGTTGTGACTGTTGCTATTGTGTGTTACAAATTGGTGTCGGATGATGTTTTCATGTTGTTTACAAATCTCCATCTCCAAAACCAATTTGTAACACACAATGGCAACAAACACAACCGAAGAAGAAAGAAGGCGTTGGGATCGTGGGAGATGTTTATTCTGACAATGTACAACTTAAAGTGAGTGGGTGCAGAGCTATTTGTCATCTTTTATAACGAGTCCAGCTAAACGGTCCTCTTCTTGTTCCAGTAGGCTCATGCAAGCGTTCCTCTCTAAAACAGATGAGAGGAAAAAACTTCTTTAGCAGCGTAGGGCTGTTTCATCTGTATCCTACTGCACAACCAGTCAGCAACGAATGGCGGACTCACTGGCGCAGTAAAACAAATCAGCCTGACACCAACCGAGTTTAGTCTTGAGAGAGTTCAATTCACTTCTGGTGTTATTTACGATCAAAATGCTGACAACATTATACAAATACATCACCTATTTTAAATTAGTACCTAACTTGGATGTAAATCATGAATAAGATTCGATGCCGTACGCATCAAAGTTTTTTTTATTTTTATTTTTTTTATTTTTGATTTACAGCTTGATTCCCCACTGTATTTTTGGTACAAACATGGAATTTTCAGCATGCATATCGGTAGCCCAAATTTTGAAGGCCGACCGTAGATATCAGGTGTGCCCCGGCGTGGGCTCGAACCCCGGACCATGTTCATGGTCTGCGAGAGTCCTAACCACTGTGCCACCGACGCACATGAAATAAATTTTTTCCGGCGTATTTGTAATCTGATAAAGCATAAACAGGTTTTTGGTAAATGCGAGAAAACATCTCTACATTTTCGAGGTGCTCCAATTAATGACTAGTTAGCAGATTTTTCCCAAAAACTATAGACAAAAAAGACAGCTACCATGTAATTTCACCACAAACCTAATTTATGTAATTCAGATAATACTTATCCATGCCTGTACAACTGGTGTGTCCTACACAGATAGGAATAAATATATTATTATCACGTTTTAGATTCGGTACAACGGCTGGGGCAAATGGAATTCTTTTTTTGATTCCTTCACGTTCCCAGTTTAACACAGGGCTTCAAGCTAGAGGCTTGAAGTTTCCGTAGCAGTGTTTACCTTACAAGATAGGGATGCTAGCCTCATTCCCAGCCTTTCCTCTTCACCAGCTTTATTTCTGGCATAGTGAGGTAAAGGAGTGAGTCGGCCGAGGATCGAACCCCGGACCATGTGCATGCTCGGCGAGCGTCCTAACAGAGATGCCACCGACGCACAATGAAATTCTTTAAATTGGAGGTATTGCACTGGGTTTTGTAGTACTAAAATTATTTGGGGAAAACATGTATAAGTAGACCGGAGCT